CTTGGAGTACAATATCTTGCTTCTGCCATTATCACCACAGAGAGCCTAATTGATTAAACCAAGGACTCCGAGCCAAAAGAAAAGAAAACTATCCATGCTAAAGTGGGGGAGACAAAGGGCCACATAAGGAGGAATCTCACTACACCTCCCCAGCTTGGGGGAAAGAAAAAGGGAAGTTCAAAGACAACAAGAGCAAGCCATATAATAGATGCTTTCTTTGTGGAGGACCTCACTGGATAAGGGAATGCCCTCAAAAGAAGACCCTAAATTCTTTTCTAGCAAGTCATCAGGAGGTGGCAGAAGCTGAGGTTGGAGATACTATGGCACAAGTGGGATCCATGCAACTGCTGAATGGGATACCGTCAATGCCAAATCTCAAAGCCCAAGGACCACTCTTTGTAAAGATGAGCTTTGAAGGAAAGAATACCAGTGCTATGGTAGGCACTGGTTAGCACTTGTGCCTCACACAACTTCATCTCCATGGAAGAAGCAAGGAGGCTAGGGCTAAAATCAATGGGAGAAGGAGGCTCCATTAAAGCAGTAAATTCAGCAGCAAGGCCCATACATGGTATAGCCGGAGGAGTTAGGGCCACTATCGGTGCATGGTCAGGAACTCTAGACTTCTCCATCATTCTAATGGATGACTTCAAGATTGTCTTGGGACTGGAATTCTTGGACCAGATAAAGGGTTTCCAATATTCTATGCCAACGACATGTTAATCATGGAAGAGAAGAAAGCTTGTATGGTGCCAACAAAAAGGGCCATCAAGCAATAGGAGAAGATACTATCAGCCATACAATTCAAAAAAGGTGTCATGCGAGATGAGGAAAGCTATTTGGCCATTCTTCATGATATTGATGAAGAGGAGAAACCCCAAGAAGACATGCCAAGGGAAATAGTGATGGTACTTGAAGAGTTCAAAGATGTTGCTCCAACAAAATTACCAAAAGAGCTACCACCTTGAAGGGAGATGAATCATAAGATTGAGTTGGAGTCAGGATAAAGCCACCAGCTATGGGAGCATACCGTATGGCACTGCCAGAGTTGGCTGAACTTTGCAAGAAACTAATGGAGTTTTTTGGTGCAGGGTTCATTCGACTAATTAAAGTTCCATTTGGTGCTCCAGTCCTATTCCAAAAGAAGAAGGATGGTTCCTTGTGCATGTGTATAGACTATCGGGCTTTGAACAAGATAACCAAAAAGAATAAATATCCTATTTCTCTCATCTCCGACCTCTTTGATCAATTGGGAGATGCCAAATATTTCTCCAAACTAGACTTAAGATCGGGTTACTACCAAGTGCGTATAGCAGAGGGGAATGAGCCAAAGACAACATGTGTTACCAGATATGGGTCCTATAATTTTTTGGTTATTCCCTTTGGGTTAACCAATGCCCCTGCAACATTCTACACTTTGATGAATAAGCTTTTTCACCCATGTATGAATCAGTTCATGGTCGTGTACTTAGATGATATAGTGATCTACAATAAGACACTCAGAGATCATATTGACATCTAAAACAAGTGTTCAAAGTACTAAGAGACAACAAATTATATATCAAGAAGGAAAAGTGCTCATTTGCCAAATAAGTGGTGACATTCTTGGGACACTGGATAAAAGATGGCAAACTCATGATGGAGAATGAAAAGATACAGGCCATTCAAAGTTGGGAGTCACCCTCCAAAGTAAGTGAGCTAAGGTCCTTTCTAGGACTTGTAAATTACTATCAACGATTCATAAAAGGCTACTCTGTAAGGGCTGCTTCACTAACAGATCTACTAAAAAAGAGCAAAACATGGGAATGGGATACAAAGTGTCAAGAAGCATTCGAAGATATCAAGAAAACCATCGGTCAAGAGCCAGTAGTTAGCCTCCGAGATCATACAATGGCTTATGAGGATGCTTTTGACTATACTATAGGAGTACTCATGTAAGGACATCTCATCGCCTATGAAAGTAGGAAGCTTAATGAGATAGAAAAAAGATACATTGTTCAAGAAAAGGAGATGACAATCTTCATACATTGCTTAGAGTCTAGAGGTACTACCTACTGTGGTGAAAATTCAAGATCATGATTGATAATATTGCCATAAGCTACTTTCACACTCAAAAGAAACTAAATCCCAAGCAAGCATGATGGCAAGACTTCCTTGTAGAGTTCGACTATATCCTTGAATATAAGCCAAGGAAGGCTAATGTAGTCGCCGATGCACTAATCAGGAAAACAAGTATAGCTAGCATTTCACATGTCCCTAGATTACTAATGAACAAAATAAAGAAGGGATTGATGAAAGATCTGCAGGCTCAAAGTATTCGCACTCTTATAAAAGAAGGGTGTACTAGAAGATTTTGGGAGGAAGAAGGCATTCTCTACACCAAAATTCATTGAATCTATGTTCCAAGACGGGGAAATCTAAGAAGGGTAATGCTAAAAGAGTCATGTTTCACTTTTGGGGGGACGTCATGGTACAAAGAGAACTCTAGCCCTCCTAAAGTCCAAGTACTACTGGTCAGGGATGATGGATGTACTAGAAGAATATGTACGGACTTGTCTCATTTTCCAATAAGATAAGATAGTTCAACATAGCTAGGGGGATTGTTGGAGCCACTACCAATCCCACAAAGACCATGGGAAAGCATCTTGTTGGATTTCATCTCTTGCCTACCAAAATTATAAGGATATGGGAGCATATTGGTTGTGGTGGATAGGTTCAATAAATATGCAATCTTCGTAGCAACCCCCATGGATTGTACTGAAGAAGCAGCAGCAAGACTTTTCCTACATAATGTAATAAAACTATGGGGAGCACCAAGGAGCATCATTAGTGATAAAGACTCTTGCTTCGTTTGGAGATTTTGGACATAGCTATTCAAGATGTTGGGATCAGATTTGAATTTCTCAAAAAGTTTTCATCCCCATAGCGATGGGCAAACTGATAGGATCAATGCACTCTTGGATCTTTACGTAAGGCATTATGTGAGTGCAAATCAATAAAATTGGGCAAAACTTCTTTATATGGAGAAATTATTATGTGCGGACGCTGGACGAAGAGAATCGTCCGGATTTGCTGTGCTTTTGTTGCCCTTTTGCTGTTCTTTTGCAAAAGAGTAGTAAAATGACAGTAAATATTCAATTATGAATGCATTTTTACTGTTTTTTTGCAAAAGCGCAACAAATATTCAACTATTTAATAAATATTAAATTTTGGTTGCCCTTTTACTGCCATTTTGTAAAAGAACAGTAAAAAAACAGCAAATCCTGACAGTTCTCTCTGTCCGGTGTCTGCATAGAATAATTAGTCCTTTATGTGACACAATTTTCTTACAATTTACAACAAAGTGAGGCCAGTAACAAGTGTCTTTTTGAGATTATCATAGGGAAACAACCTGCGACACCTCTCATCCTTTCCACTAGTTATGAAGGAGAAAGCCCAACAATGTACAAATTTGCTAGGTCATGGAATGAGCAAAGAGAGTAAGCTCGTGCCTCACTTCATAAAGCATCAAAGAGGATAAATAAGTGGACAGACATGAGAAGAAGACGTGGAGTTTAAGGAAGGAGATCTTGTTTTTGTTAAGCAACTACCACAACAATTCAAGACTCTTTGAAAAGTACACAAAGGACTAGTGAGGAAATATGAAGGGACATTTGAAATAATCAAGCAAGTAGGAAAAGTCTCCTACAAGCTTAACCTTCCTCCTAAACTAAGATTCACCCAGTCTTTCATGTGAGCATGTTGAGGCCTTACCATGAAGATCAGGATGATCCATCAAGAGGAATATCCAAGCGAGCTCGAACCACAATAATCACTTCCTTTGATAAAAATGTAGAAGAAATACTATTAGATCGAGTAATCCGCCGATGAGGGGCCCCAAATTATAAGGAATACTTCATTAAGTGGAAGGGCTTGTCATATAGCGAAGCTAGCTGGGAACATGAAGACACTCTGTGGCAATTCAAGGACAAGATCCAGCAGTACCATATGGAAGGCACGATGAGGGCATCACGAGCTTAAATGGAGGAGAGTGTCACACCTTGCCATCTTAAGGAGGTTAACCCAAAGACCAAGACCTATAAAACTCTAGAAGCTTCTCACAAGTTTTAGATCGTGCTAGAATGGAGGAGCTTCAAGAGAACTCAAGATAATCTAGAATATTCTAGGCAATCTTGTATGAACTAGTGTAATAAACTAGAATAGTATGGAATAATCTAGAAGCAAGATGTTCTCATGAATGTTCTCTAGGGTTATGGGGGATTATAAATGGAGGTCCCCACCCCTCATTTGGGATCATTCAAAGTTTTCCAAGTTCTTAAGTCTTGTAAAGCTTCCTTTCTCACTAAAGCATTACTTTCCTTTCCACTTTTCTTCTCCAAGTGTCCAAGTGTTCTTATCCTTGTGTTGTGAAAGTTATGTTGCTTAGCATTGGTTTTGAGTGCTTAAGGTCGCATGAGTAACTATGATAAGGTCATTGCGTGACACTAAGCTTTCAATCAATTGATCAACGTGAGCTGCGTATTATTTAAAATCTAAATTAGATATCTATTCTCAGGTTCAAAAAAATGTTGAGGACTTTTAAGCTACAAATCCGAGCATCTGTGTGTGTTGTTTGAATCATATTAAGAATAACAGCTGTAACAGTGAATTCTTGGTTGCTGTAAACCCATTCAACAATGCTTAGGTCTCTGAAGACCCAGGTATGAATGTATGGGTTACTTGAAACCTTGATAATGATGTCGTGGTTGCTAATACCTCAGCGGATTGCAAACAAGATGGTAATATTCAAGTTGCCACAATTCTTGCCAAATGCGTGTATTATATGAAACCTAGGCATAAATTTCTGGGTTTTATCTATCCTCATAATCCTCATTTACAAAGTAGGGCAACTTTTTGTCAAAATTTAGAAACATGGCATTTATCATGAAAAATTTAATCTACAGGTTTTAAAAAGAAATCCTTTTTTGATTGGAAGATCTCTTTATTTTCTTTTTCTTATTCAGATGGCCATAACAAGAGTAACATTAGCCTGGGGGTGCAGAAAAATACCTCTCTTAGACAGAATGACCGTTCACTATATTCAAAAAATGAAGAAGCTTCCTCCTCTTTATCTTCTGTCACTAGTATGAGACAAATGAAGCCACTTACTCCAACACCCCTGGCTTCTCCTCATCAACAAGGAGACGATAAGTCCCTGCCTTCAGATCAGAACTCAACCCCTGTGATAGGCTCCTCAAGCTCAGGAGAATGTATGGATCTCATGCCAAGTGGGGCTCTAGCTGTTTCAAACATGGTTGATGACGGAGGAGGAAAGAAGCCATTTGAGCCAAGCACTCAAACTACTTTGGTCTCAACAGATAATGCATTGCCTGATACCAATTTCAATGAGATCCAGCTGAAAGATGTGCAAGCTAATGATGGCATGAGAGAGGAAATCCCTGAAATTCCAGTGTCATGGAATGCTGGGATGGGCACCTTGGTGTCTCTTATCCGTGCAGAAGTGGAAAAATTGGATAATTTCAAGGTAATTGATGAGAAGGAACTTCAATCAAATGTGAAGATCAAGAGGACAAATGCACTCTTGCAGCTAATTTCATGTGGCTCAATCTTGAAAAAAATCAACATATCATAGTGTTTGTCACAATGCACAATATGAGGTTATTTTGCAGGAAGTTATCGTCGTTCTTAGAACCCATTGGTGAGCTCAAGTGTGATAAAGCTTTGCGACGGATGAAAAGGTTTCCTTCAACTCGTCACTGGCTAAAAATTGTATTATGCTTGAGGGAGAAGAAGAAACATAGCCAACCATCGGCCGCACTTCTGCAATCACTATAGGTAGTTTACATTCCTATTTGGAAAATAAATTAGAAGCTTTATTCTTTTAAAAGAAAAATATGAACAGAATATGAGATTATGAAGTACGAATGCCGTAACTTAAGAAATCCAAACACCTTAACCTCTTTGTTTAAAATGCGTAGCACTTATACTCAATAACGTAAAAATTTTATAGATTTTGCTTCAGTATTTAGTCATGAAAGCCTTTTGCTCCATTTGGTCTCAAAGTAATTTTATATAGCCTATAGCACGTTGAGGCATACTAGCTTAACATCAATGGACGGTGAAGGATGTGATAATAGCGTTGAATATATAGCCTTCCTCCTAAAACAATGCTTCCTAAAATAAATCTTTCTGAAGTAATTATTCTCTATATCTTGATATTCATTTGGCTTTATTTGCTTTGATTTGATTTTATTTGATTAGATTTTTAAGTTGGTCTTTTCTAGTAAGTTTTATGCCAAACTAGACTTCCTCTGTATAAATACGTGCAGAAATAAGCTGTAATAGAGCAAGAGAAAGCTCTAAAATCATTAATTTCTTTTCTATGCTCCAAAATTATATTCTATGTTGTTCTCCAAACTCAGACTACAATACAAAAGTTTTCTCAACCCTGTAAATTGTCATTTCTTATGCTTGACTTTTTGAAGTTCAGGCGGGCTTAGACTTCATTTGAGGTAGATTTTTTACTGCTTCTTAAAGCAGCTTTTTTATAAAAATTTACTAGAAAGTTGCTTTAAGAAGAAGTAAGAAAGCCGTCTCTAACAAAGCCTTAATGTTGTCAATTATATCTATTTATTTTCTTTGCCATCATTCCTATTTTCCATATATGAGATTATTCCACTAAGTTTTTGGAGCCTTGGCATGCTTTATGCTTATAATAAACACATTGTAAAATAATTATTAATGCTTTCTGTTTATTATTAAAATCAGATTCCTATTGCTATGTTCATATTATTCTGTCGGATGAGTGTGCTTTAATTTGATGCAGCATCAGGACAAATGCTAAGGTCAATATCACAAATTAAGGCACTATATCAAAATTTGGGATATTTATCATGCATAATTCTCAATACAATCTTATGGATGACCCAAAAACTCTTTAGAATCATAGGAGAATAATTAAAAAGCTTAATTTAAAGCCCCTTAATAGATAAGTGGGACATGCAAGTTAGAAAGCAAAAAATTTACAAATTATTTGATTTTAGGATCACTTTATTTGACTTATTGGTCAATATGAATTTTCATGTTTTTAAAGGCTTTAACTTTTATTTTATTTCTCTTTTTTTTTTGTATTAGGATAGGTCATCAATCTTGCTAATATTGTTTTAGAAGCTCCTGAAGTTTTTCAAAATTCTAATGGCAAAAAATGACCTATAAATAGGACTTTGCTTTGTAGTTTTGGATTCATTGAATAAAAATTATTTTTTGCTTATGCAAATTTCATGTGGAGCGGTGCAATGGTTGCTCTACTCTTTGATAAAGCTTGATGGTTGATTTCTTAAGGTTTTGGTGAGCCATTAGTTATCTTTTCTCACCCTTATTTCTCTTCTTTCTCGATACAATCACCATTGCCTTGACATAACCTCAAACTTAACTTTCATCTACCCCAAAACAAATCTAACTCTTCAAAATTTTCTCAAATATTTTCTGACATCTCTCATAATCTTTGACGGCTTTAACTTCCAATAACTCTAAGCTATCCCAGTCAAAAGCCCCTTATAGGGAAATAATTTTTTATTGTAGTTGGACTAAAAATATGACAACTCCTTAATCATTGATCTAACATTTATAAACATATCATCATTAATTTTTTAACATCCCAAATTTTTGATATATAGTTCTTCGTTTTTCTCTAAAAAAAATTGCCCATTGATGGCTTATAAGCATCCTCAGCGATAAAATTTGTCCAAATTTTAAAATATCTATTTAATACTAGTTTGAATTGATTTAGGTCCCTTGGGTCCTAAGTTTGATCAATTGAAGGCTATTTGTTGCAATTCTAGCCTGTTTTGGTCTGCTGGCCTTTAGTTTGGCCAATGCAAGCATTGCTGAGCCTAAAACTCTTGGTGATACACTAAAAATTGTTCTATTTTTAACAATACTTCCAAAATAAGTGTTTTTAAATACAAATATAATCTCCTAAGATTTTTCTTTCTTTTTGGTTTTATTTATTTATTTTTTTCATTTTCTTTTTCTTACCAAATTAGGTTGATGAATTAAGTAGGTCGATTTAGTGTAGTTATGATGAACTAATGATATGGAGCGACTAGATTGGAGCTGACCACTTTCAATTTTGTCTTTTAATACAATGGGATTGTTCAAGGTCTTCTCCTCTTGAATGAAATGTGGTGGGCAGGGGCGGAACCGCCATATGTGCTAATGCTTACATGTTAATGACTAATTTTGATGTCTTTACAAATATAACCCTTAATGATGAAAGGAGTTTGAGTAAGAGTAGGATAGGGAGATGATTGATAGCGAGGTTGCCATTGCTGGGTAAACAAGATGGCTGCGGCCCATTCAAGTCACTTGTGGTCATAAAGTGACATTCGATAGGAGGCATGGAGGGCTCCTAACATTGGAGAGCGGTTGGAAATCCCTCTTCTGTGTCAGATCTTCACAGAGGAATGTCAGGAAGCTAATATAATGGGGAGCCCATGATGATAATGGTTTGTGGGAGTTGGTCCAAGGCTGTGGCGGGCCACCACCTTAAAATGCTCTTTTGATGAAGAGAGGTGGATCTTTGTTTATGTACTACCATTAATTTGACAAGCAAGAGGTTTTTGATAGTGAGGCAGCCCGACGATGCTAGAGTGAGGGGTGAGAGCGGCAAATGGGTTGGAATCTTGTGCAGTAGACATTTGCTTCAACATTCAGGGTGGCAAGAAAGGGCACCAACCTTGCAGAGTGTCCCCATGCAGTGCGTCTGTTTTATGAGGAAGACAATTTGCAGGTTGTTTGGCCTGCTCTGGACCTTGATCGTGTGGGCTAGTTGTACTACTTGGATCGGTTAGGCTAGTTTATGACTAATTTGATCGATTCAAGCTCCTTAGTTCCATTGTTCGAGAGATTAAACTCTATTTTGGTGCTGGTTTGGCCAGTTTAGGCCTGAAGTGTGCCGGTTTGGTTTGTAATAGGCTCTGCCTATTTATTAGAGGGAAGTCCAAACACGATACAGAGTCATCTTTCTTTCAGCGAACTTGCAGGACAGTTATTTTGCTATAATTCTTAACAAGAGAATATAAAGGCTTGCTGTTTTGATCTGAAATATTTGCATTCGAAAACAATCAATTTCATAGTTCTAATCATATGCTCTGGCGTGGAATACTTTCTCTGAAGTTATACATATATGCAATTATTATAATTTTGTTGATAAGCAATGGGTTCGCCCCTTAGTATAAGGGTAAATAGTATCAAGCAAGTTGTGTTTGGCTCAAATTTTAAATATTTTTTCCCTTAAATTTGACCGAAATCGTTTCAAAATGGATTAATTTCAGTTGACTTAAAATGAATTCTAATTTTCTCAAAATTATTAATATATAACTCACACAATTGGTTTCCAGTAAGCCACTTCAGGCTTTCCTTGAAATTTGATTTTTGGACTAGATTCACATGCCAATATTGAATCGATTCAAAGTTCAAGTTCTACTGATGTGGTGCATCTTAAATATAGTATGTCTTAGGAATAATATATTCTTTAATATCTTTTGTACCTGTTTTTTAAGAAATTTCTAAAAAATTCTATTGCTATCGTATACCTAAAACTATTATAGGAGGAAGATAGATATATCATATATGAAATATTTTTGGAATTACGGTATTTTATTATTATTTATTCTTTTAAGTTGTTTGCATCTCCTTTTCAATGATTATCTATATCAATGAATATCAAAGCTTAGGCTCATGAAGAATGACGTTGTACTGTTCACCAGCAACTAAATAGCGGAAGTTTTACCATTCAGCTGGAGCTCATGATCGACACCATTCATGCGTTTGAAGTTCAATTAGAGAAGGCCTTAGGAATTGTTTGGGGTAGTTTTCTGATTGCTTGATATGATTTTTAAATTGCTATCGTATTTGTATTTACTCATTAGTTTTTTTTTTTGGTGTTTTCTCAAATTTTTAAAAATTTATAGTGAGAAACTGAATTTTATAATCAGATCTGTTAAAGAATTGTAAGAAAATTATTATTTAAATTTGAAAAAAAAATATTTATAATAATTTTATTTTATTTTTCCTCATGATAACTTCACAACTACTTTTATAGAAAAACCTAAGCAAATAGTCCAAATGCTGTTCCATGAGGTTGACGCAAGCAAAAGCTTACATCCAAGCAAAATTAAAAGGTAACGAGCTTCCCACGTCCGTTATGTTTAACAAAAAATCGCATTGCTTTTTAAAAAGCAGATGCATTATTCAAATTGCCAAAGGGGAAGTCATTCATCACTCTCCTACTATATATGAAAGGTACTAAGTTGGATACTATAAGTAGATTGCAGGCAAGCTTTCCATCGTTTGCAAAGCATCAGTGATCGCTATGTAATCTCCTGATCAATATTATTTATTCATGGACCACTCATAAAGTTTGTTGGATTGATCCAATTAAATCTGCTTTAATTAGGCCTTCGATTAATAGAAATAAATAATGATTAGGAAAAAGGCTTGTTTTCTCCAAAACATTCCAAGCAATGTTTAATTTGAGTTTCTTCAATTTGTTTTCTGTCATTCCGAGAGTTGTTTCTTGATTCAGTATGAAATAATAACCTTTTACATTACTCAACCTCGTTAGTGAGGCCGGTTCGCCACCAAAGCCGATTCGCCTCCAAAGATCAGGATGGGACAATGAGGCCGATTCACCACCGAGGCCGATTCGCCACCGAAGAGCAGGACGGGATGAAGAGATGACTAGTTGAACCCGTCGGACCATGGATGGCCTTCGACTTGGCTTCTTCCGGCACTGGAATCTACGGACTGCTAGAAGCCTGTCTTCAACACCTGAAATATGTTCATGATTCAAGAAAAACAGGAGACTATCCAAAAAACATATTCTTATGATTATCAACTCTCAAAAACCACTTTTATTAAATCTACAAGAGACTATATATATATATACACACAAAAGAATGACATACCACGGCAATACGAATGATAGACAGAAGAAGGCTATACGAAAGATCGAGCTACACTGTCCACCACATATTAATACAATTTATTTTTGGAGACACTCCAATGTCAGTTAGCACAACAAACTTTATGATGAATTCAATTAATAAACATTATCATTTTTTTCCTCAAATGAAATAAAACTATATCTTGTAATTGTTCCAATATCCGATATAGATTGGAGAAGTGATAGCATATGCGTAAATAAGCTTAATCTTAAACAACATTAATTCCGAGGGCAAGACCAACTACAACTCTTTCATATGTATTTACTCCATTATTTCAACCAGCTACAGTGAATATTAATGAATCAAATGTAGATGGACGTTCCCTAATGAAGGAGAAATTATTGTGTGCAGAGTCCAGACATAACTCTATAAGTCCGGATTCCAATAAAATGCTGACACATAAATATTTAATATTTATATTATTTTTCTTATGACCTAACAACCATACTCGATCCAGACACTCGTATTACCTTTTTTTAAAAAAGAAATATACGAAAGCACCCAAATATTTAAGGTTTTGGTGGGCAGAATATTTCATTTTATCTGCTGAGAAAAAAATGAGAAACAGGCGAAGAAGATGAAAAATGGTTTGGAGGACATTTCATTCTCCGAGGAAATGAAAAGCTATATGCAAAATATTTAGAAAGACTTACTGTAGCCAACATGGGAGAAAAATTAGGGTTATTATAGGTAAATTTTAAACTCTTCTCAAGTTTTAATGTATTTCCTATAAATATATAGTTTTTTAGGGTTTAGGATGTATTCAATTTTTATATGCCAATGTTAGCCACCATGAACACTGCTTACTACCCCTAAACACTACTTCCAACTCATGGTTATCACCCACCATAATTTACGTACTATCATCGATAGCCGCCTGGCACCCTCGGCTACCACTACTTTCAACAGCCATCTCCCACCATCCTTGGCCACCTTCATCCTTTTCAATGCATTTGAAATTGTATATACACAATGACTTAATAGAGAAAAACATAGTATTTTTCATAATATATCTCAAATACATAGCTGTGAAAATGCTTAAAAAGTTTTCAAATGAACGATTATATTGTTTGGTTGCCACATATCTTGTGTCATATAAATACTCAGCAATACACAGTAATATCCAATGACTTAAAAGATAATAGTATTTCCCATATAATTTCTCAAATATGTAGCTGTGAAAAGACTTAAAAGGTTTTCAAATAAATAAATACAACAATGTCTAGTTGTTATAAGTTTTTATCATAGAAATACACAATAATACACATCAATATACAATGTCTTAACAAAGAAAAAAAATATTTCCCTCAAAATTTCTAAAATACACTGATGTGAAAATGCTTAAAAAGTTTTCAAATAAGCAATCACAACAATGTATGGGTGCCACATATTTTGTATGATAGAAATACTCACTAATACATAGCAATACCAATAACTTAACAGAGAAATAATAGCATTTCTCATAAAATTTCTCAAATACATAGCTATGAAAAAACTTATAAAGGTTTTAAAATAACAAACACAATACTTTCTGGTTGCCATAAGCTTGTATTATGGAAATACACAATAAGTTTTTGTAATGCTAAGATTGTTTCAACAAAATATTTTTTAAGATGATATTGAGTTGAATTTTGGAGGAGTGTTCCTAATATAGTACTAAAATATAACTTATATTAATTTAATTATCCAATACATAATGTCTAATTAAATTCGTGTTCTAAATGATCATAGTAGAATAAGCGTAGAACATGATGATGACTTTTTTAGATTCTACATGATTAGATCACATCAAAGTTTATGTAAATTCATAATTGAATAAGCGTAGAATATTGAGTTAATAGGATATTTTATGTTTAGATTTTTAGGGCTTTAACCAAACTATAAGAGTTTCATGCTAGTAAACACTTGACAATCTCCCTTTGGACATTTTGCTCTTGCATAATATAGCTATGGCTATAAGAAATACCATGAATTTAAGAGCTTACATTTATCTATTCTATATATTTTTAATTTGTTGTTGTTACAAAAAAAAAAAAAAAGAAAAAGATAGTGATAGCCAACTATGAGCAAAAAGAGGTAAAAAGAATGAGAGTTTTAAATTAGAAAGATTAGTTGTTTGGCGATGTATTAAGCTCCTATCATAAACACAATCATTGAATTATTCTATATATGAGAGATTTTGGTGCATATATATTAGATGCCATTACAAGTAAAAAATTAAAGGAAAACTTCAAGGATAGAAAAATATCTAAGGATAGAAATAATCAACTTTCTCTATTAGGGATTTCAATTAAATAAGTTATAGTCATTTTAATTCAAAATGAAGTTGGGGTGTATTAATAGACAAATACATCATTTAATAATAAATTTAAAGAGAAATCATCTCCCATTTATCATATTTCTATTTAATTAGGATTAAATTTGAATTTTTGTTCTATATGATACATTTTTTTGGTACTAGGATTTTTAGCGAGGAAATCAAGAAGTTTATTTTTCCCTAAGTTTTCACATAACCTCTTTTCTCAATAATTAAGCCTAGCCTTTGCTCTCTCTAATCAAGCCACTAAGTCTCTTTAGCATTACTTCATATACCCAATCTTAATCTCCATCATGAGAAGCATAAGGAGAGGGATTTGATTCCTAGTGCAAAAAGGCTATATATAGAAGGCCAAGGCTAAGAAAGGAGAATGCAAGAAAAAAAATTGAGATTCAAAAGATTAATTTTCTACTTAATAGGGTTACATTTCATTACCATAAATGTTAGATTATTTGTATCAAGATTTAATTATCAAATAAAGAAATTTAATTTTTAGTCTAAATTCTCTCTCTCCATTAGCAAGTGTAGCAACCCTTCTCTTTGATTGACCTTTCTTTAAAACATATAGGAGGATTTATTCCAAGTGCAAAAAGGCTACAAAAAGAAGATGACAAAATTAAACAAAGGAAGGAGGCAAAAAAGCAAGGGTGAAATTGAAAGAAGAGAAAAAGTGGCTCAAGGAGCTTTCATAAAGTGTGAGAATTCACATAAATTTGATTTTGTCTAATGCTTAATAATTTGATTATTCAATTTTCAAATTATTCCATTAACTCTCCTTATGTGCATTATTTCTCTATTCAATATCAATCGATCTTCTAATTTCATAAGTCATACACTTTGCATAGTTTAATCTTATGAATACCTATTTATAAAGAATCATCATAAAATGTACTTCATGAGTAATTTTAATATAGCAACTTAAAGTGCATAATTTTAACTTAAAAAAAAAAGAGGCATCACTTTAATTCCTGAAATTACTTCTAAACATTCTAGATTAAAGTCATAATAAAAGCTCCCAATATGGATCATTGATAACTCGTAATACATCCTCATCAAATCTATCAAATTTGAAATGAAAGGTGATCAACAAGAGTTCCAATAATAACCTCATAGGTCTATGAATTTATTAATCATTGCTAATGATCATGACCAATTTAAGAACATTAAATTATATGCTTGCATAAACGAACCATAACCTTATGCACTCTTTCTTACATTTGGGTTAATAATTTTTAACTTTATGTATGTTGCATCTTGGAATATTCCTGTGGCACTAAAGAAATATAAAGTTTAATGTCTTAGCTTTGTACTAAGATTCACAAGTTTTGATTGTTGCGTGATTTATTTTGGAAGTTTATGATTCAACTTTGTCTTGAGATTTGAGCCCGATCAAGACAATTTTTTGATGATATATCAATGCCAATATTGTATTGGAATCAGACTTTGGAGAAATTATTTTGTTTCCGTACTCCGCAGAGAGTAGTTTCTCCAAACTTTGAGCGCATAAAACTATTAAAGGTTATGATTCATATAAATGAGAAGATGCTAGTTTTTTTTTTTTTTTTTTTTTTCCAGACTCGTTGTTGTTAATATAGCAAGAAATTCAAGGTAGAGGTAAAAATACGCCATATCAGTAGTTCTCTTGTAAATTGATATAATTGTTTTATTTATTTCCATAGATATCTTAACTTAAATTAATTAGCATATAACGGATACTAAGAAAAAAAATTCCATATGATGGCGACTAAAAGTACGCAAAACAGGAGGCAACTAGCACTGCTGTCTGCCCCAGTAATTCTCTAGAAATCTCAGTTCTTTTTTTCCTTGTCTCTATCTCTTGGAAAGCACTTCCTTGTTTTACATGGAAATCTATTTTCAGCCATTAAAAACGTGAAGGCATCTTGATTGCCGGGCTAAAAGACAAATTGCGCCATTTGAACTTCCATTACAGGTTTCAACTTAACAAGCAATCAGAATAAAAGGAGAGAAAAATCAAATACAAACAAACCAACAAAAAAGAAACAAACACTCGCATCACCTTCAACAAAGTAGCAGACACATGCAAGCTTAATCACTCATCACTGCTCAGTACTAGCAACTAGAAGTAAAGCTCTTGAAACCTAATTGAACTAAGGTTTAGTTAATTGAGCTCACTTTCTCCACTGCAGAGTACTTGAGAAATTTAAACGCTCTCTGAGGTCGACGAAGGCAGGAGAGGCTGATTCAAAGTAGCGGCTTTATGAGAAGCAGACGCAGATGATCTTATGATATCATGTTCTTCTGCAGGTGAGAGCAGATGGTTTGGCTCCTTCGCAGCTATGGATTTCTCCTCACTTTTCCCCCAAAGAACAAGGTAGAGACCGATGATGATGAACACAGCACCAATAATACTGCACAAATATTAGTGAAAAACAGAAAAAGAAGATCGATAAATACTAATGTAAATTATGCTTAATCTGTTATATTAAATATTGAGCTATTTTTATTTTTTATTACCCTCCTAAATAGAACTCTTCTCCCAGAGCAATGGAAGCCATGATGGCTACGACAAAGGTCTGAACTGGTTGATAGACTGCAACAAAGACAGGGCCACCTCTGTCTATGCACCATATTTGAATTGCAAATGCTATTCCAGATGCAACACATCCCTGATAGGAGAAGAAAGATAAACTGTTTGATTAATAGTTTTCATTCAGAAGCTGGATGAATGAATATTAAATCGAATAAAAATATATATGAAAATGTATTTCCATCTACAGAAACTAGATTAATTGACTATATATACCTCAATAAGTTAAGTGTTGTCCATCTTGGAACTGTATATATGTTTTTACTGAGCAAATTTAATTACATTAAAGGCTTGTTGGAGTTGAGAGAGCGCCTCTCCAATCTCCATTAATGATGAGCCTGAAGATTCCTTTCCCAAAGTTTCGTGGATCTATCAAGCTATGAAATAAGTTCTCTAAAATAATATTTCAGAGTGAGTGGAAAGCATTCACACGCCATGATGTCGACCACTTTAGCAGTGATAAAATTCGGATCAATATTTTACAGCAGTTTAATATAGAAAAGCTACAAGCTAAGCTTTCTTTTTCAACTCACTGCAAAGCTTCTCAAAGAAGTGAAAGAGGGGATGAAGTACTTTCGGAAAGCTACAGCAACTTTATAAGAAGCATTTTCTTCTTCGAGCTCATAGTGTTAGAGCATAACTCAAGTATAATTTACTAATCCTACTCCAACTACATCAACTCAAATAAGTTCAGGGACGGATCCATCTTCTTTTTTCAGGGTGGGCAAAAAAAAAATAATTGGTGGGAGATGGGCAAAAATGCTTATGATTGATAAAATTAGGGTAAAAATTTTTTTTGAGAGGGGGGAAAATACCCAAAATAATAAAATATACCCTCTAAAATTAAAAAAAAAAATTTTGAGGGTGGGCATTTGGCCCCCCTCAATCCAATGGGGATCCGCCCATAAGTAAATCAGCACTACTCCCTTTTGTACGTACCGTCTGCTAATACTGGCCTGGCCGTTTTCTGCAGACGGTATGATAGGGAGTAGTGCAGTCTCACTTGAGCTGATGTAGTTGGAGTAGGATAAGTAAGTTATACTTGAGTTGCACGCTAACTCATAGTGCTATGCTTTGCGGGTCCATTAACCTGCTACTAGCTCAGCAATATCTCATATAGCTTAAAGTTTAGTTTGGGATGATTTTTTTATTGTTTCTTAAAATAAATTTTTAGCAAAAAAATTTAAAAAATTGTTGAATAATAATAATAATAAAGCCGTCCCAATTGAAACCTAACTTAAGAATAAAAATAACATTATTACCTTATCTATTGTACCAACTATTAAAAAAAAAAAAAGTGGGAAACCGACTAAGCCTTCAAAACTATAAACAATTTTAAAGTTGCCTCATTGAAGAATATATATCTAGATGTAGCTTAGCATGATTATTCTAACATAGCTATATAATTTAAGATAAGATCTGCACTTCAATCTAAACTTTAGGAGAACTTTCTTTGCAGTTCAAAGACTAAACACAGATTTGGGAAAGTGAACAAGAAACGTTTAGGACCTTCTCATCAAAATGTTTATCTTTGTTAGATGCTAAATAAGTTTTTACTAACTAAATTTTTTTATTATTCTAGTGCAATTTTAAGTATAAAACATATAATATTATATAAATTTTAGGATAATTTAATGAACGTTGTGGATAAAGGTCAGGAATTAGATATATTGGAGCAAAAAGTAGCAAGGAAGAATCCAATAATAAGACAATAGAAGTCATAGAAATGATGGACAAAGTTCAGATTTTACTTAATTGGGAACATCTAAGATCTGCATCATTAGGCTTGTGATAATTTAAAATCTGGCCACTAATTAATTATTGTACTGATCTCAATCTATTTATTTTGAATGGATGTTATTATATCCAATAAAAAAGAGTTATTTTAAACATTTTCTTTGCATTCAAGTCCAAGCAATTAAGATAATCAATTTAGACGGGTGAAATTTAATAACTGCTCATAAATAATTAACAGATGTAACTGTTAAGGATCCTGCCTCTTGTTTTCAAAACGCAAGAAAGACACTGAAAATGAAATATTGTCTATCAAAATCCTTTTTGAGAGAGATTATTCTGTGCGGTGTTCGAATGTATCCGGAGGTTATTTCGAACGTGCCATGTCATCCAATGCATTGTGCATTGGGTGAAATGGCATGCTCGAATTAGTCTCCGGATGTGCTCGGACAAAACACAAGATATATTTTTTTTCTTTTGTGAAAGAACCTTTGGCTCTTTGCTAATGGAGATAATTGTGCCGTTGGGTCATGGATTCAAATCACACATCTGGGGATTTATGACTTTTCATTATTTAAAAAAAAAACTACGGCTCTTTTTGGTCTGTTAATTGAAAGTTTTGGTTATTAATTAAAAGATTTTGAATTCATATTTTTAATGTGATGTATGTAAGTATGACTTTGTTTTAATTAACATGAGAAGTGCTAATCAAATCTTGGCTATCCAGCGGCTGCATTGTACTTAGTTGACAGAAGCGACAATATTTAACTATTATTAGCATATTTAGTATCATAACATGAACAAAGTTAGTAATACATCCAACGCAACCTCCTGGATCAAATAAAAATAAAAAACTATGGAGAGAGGGCGAGAGGATAAGAGTAACTTACAGCGTAAAGAATGGTAAAAACCTCAGTCCCGGAGTGAAAAGCCCAAGCCTGAGCTTTGCGCTCGACGAAGGCGGCTATGATCAGAAACTGGATGACGCCGAAAAAACAAGTGTAGGAAGTGACGGAAAGCCTCGCCGGATATTTCTTAAGAACCGGCGCCTGAAGCACAAGCCACCCGGACCACGAAAGGCAGTGACCCATCAGATAGAGGCACCCAAGTGTCCAGCTTTTGCCAGCCTTCGCATCTCCTAACCAAGTTGCAGCCGCCGCCGCCGACGACGAGACAGCCGAAGCTGCAACCGCCGACAGTCCCGGCGGCGGCCGTGACGACGGTGAGAAGATGGTCGGGCCTTTATATAACGTAATCACTGTCGCGCCGGCGACGCAGGCTAGTGTGCCGATCACCTTCGCGATGCCGTCGCGCCGGTCCAACCTCACTTTCTCTATTCTGATATGTTTCACAAATAGGAACACCGTTAATTTAGCAGTGTAATTCAACAAGATCATTCGAGTATGGTCAATATAAGATGGTTGATTGAAATAATATTTATCAGACTTTTAAAAATATCCTTGCGGCGCTATAACCTAGTTTACTTAGGTTACGCTTTATGATTATTTTTCGAATAGAAAAAAGAATAATAATATATATTTTTGGATTATAGGCTTTTCAAAATAGTTTTAGAATTTTTTTTATAAAGAACATTTATAATTATGATTAAAATTTTTTAAAAAAATAAAAAAAGAAAGGATAGATCTACTTGAAAAAGATAGATCTTCTTTAAAAAGTTTAGAACTGTTTGTATTTTTTTTTTTTTTTTGGGACATTTAGGCCATTTAAGGCAAACTCACACACACAACACATACACATAGACTCGAATCCTGAACCTCTTAGTTGGAAGCCTAAGCTCTCAACCAATAGGCCAAGGAGAGTTGTGTACTGTTTGTATTTTAACTCGATCGATCCCTGGTTAGTAAAGTGATCATCTGGCCTACCTAATCCGGAAAAAGGAAATGAGCATTTGATTCAATATTTCAATGTAATCAATTTTAAAAAATGATTTTTTTCTTTTCCTAATAATAAGGTCGTCAGGCAGAATATTATTATCCTTCTAAATTATATAATAAAAAATAAAAATATAATATTGGCTCCATAAATTCTCAAAAAACATCTATTTATAATGAAGTTTCTTCTAAAACTACATTTAAAATATTTATTTCCTATAAAAAAAACATAAATCTTTCCCTTTATTTTTGAATTTTTAGTGTGCTATTTATTGAATATACCAATAGATCGACGCACAAAAATAATAAACAAGAACAGACCTAAGGGCGACGGCCATGAGAAACGTGATGGCCGGAACGGAGTTCTGGATAGCGGAGGCAAACGTCGGCGAGGTGTTGTCCAGTCCCAAGAGATAAAATCCCTGGTTTGCGGTAATCCTTTTTTTTTTGGCAAAAAATTTAAACAATATTACTAACCAATATATTTATTGTGTATTTAACCAGTCCCAAAGCTACTCCGCTTTTTGACTTACCCGCAGAGCGCAAGGAAGAAGAACTGAACGAGAAAGGAGAGACTGAAAGGCGGCCTATCCTTTCTGCAGACGATATCAACAATTAGGTTCATTAATATGGATTTTATTAAAAAAAAATAATTATCAGACTGTGCGTGATGATCTCGTATATAAATTACTTCTCGAAGAAGTAGGCGAAGGGCACGAGTAGTAGGAGAGCGATGATGTTGCGGTAGACGGCGAAGACCAACTTGCTGATGCCCATATTGAGCGCCGCACGTGACACGACATGGAAGCCGGCGTAGCCGAACTGCAGGGCAAGCATAGCCACGTGCAGCTGCGCCTTCTCCGACACGCCGCATATCCTCCTTGCCGAGGCCGCCGCCTCCGCCATTTTAGGGTTTAGGGAGGTGGAGGAGATGGGAAGATGGAGCGAATTGGAAGGGGATTGGGGGGCTCTAAATATGGTTGGGCTGGGCTGGAATGAGCTGAGTGGGAGGAAGAGGTAGTGAGAGTGACAGTGGTGGTGAGTGTAGAGTAGCCCCCACGAGCGTTCTGGCTGCGCTCTTATTTCTTTAAATGATGTTATATCACACTACTACTTTGTTTCTGGTTGTCCCCCGCATTCTTGCTTTTGTTATCTCTTTCTTGCATTATGGTAAGAACTGGGGTTGTAAAGGACTCATTCAAGCTGTCCTTGATTTGAGTTTAAATATAATTAATCAAATTAATTCTGGTTTGAGTTTTTTTTTTAAATTTAATTTTATGTATTCAAATTTTGAGTTTTAATTTGTTATAAAAGATAGAAGATGATATGATTGAAGGAATTGAAGAGACGAAATCATTAAAAAAAATTGTAATTTGAAATATAAATGATGATAGAGAAAGTAAGACATGGATGAAGATTGAGTTTTTTTTTAGCTTAAAATTTTATTAATTTATTATTTTTTAAATATATTTTATATTAGCGTTTTTTTTTACTTTTTCTTAAGAGCCAATTTACGAGTTGATGAGTTGGGAAGGGCTATATCAAATTTGATTTATTGGCTCAATGAGTTATTTATGGACTTCAATGGTGAGTCAACTTAATTTCATTACACCCCTCATAAAGTAACATTACGATCAGAGTAAAGTTAATTCTCAGGTGACTAGCAGGTTCTAACAGCTTAAAAGTTTAGCGGATAGGCCGTTCAAATCTGTTCATATATGATCGCTAACTTTTAAATTTGAATTTTACGAAAAACAGTTACCATATGTAATATGGTAAGCACATTAGAAAATTGTAGCTCATAATGATTTTTTGGGTTAATGGATATCGTTTTTTTTTTGTTTCTAAAATTATACTAATCAAACTTTTTTTTTAATTTGTAAATCAAATTTCTATCAATTCAATAAAATAATATTTATTTTTGTCGTTATTACGGGTTAGAATATACGCGGCGATAGAGTTATAATATTACGTCTTAATGTTGTACGGATATCCAGCTCACATACAGAGAACACATGATTCTTTACATGGAAAACCCTAGAAAAATGAAAAACCATGGGTCTGGCACAGTCTGAAATGATTTTACTTGTGTTTGGGTAGATTACAGTGGGCTGACTCATCCTTAAGGGTGATCAGAGTACAAATGTCAACCGTATAGTTGAAATCTAATGACAAACGGGGATGAAAGTTCGACGTCACTTGGTGAACTGACATAAGTTAAGTGCTACTTGAAAATTCGGGCGTCAGTTGGTAGCCTAGCAGTGGTTTGATTGAACTTCGGCATCAGGCGGTGGTCCGACAGAACTCTAGGCATCAGGTGGTGGTCCGACGGAACTCCAGGCGTCATGTGGTGGTCTAGCAAAACTCTGGGCGTTAGGTGATGGTCCGACAGAACTCCGAGCGTCAGGTGGTCGTGCAGTGGAACTCCGGGCATCAGATGGTGGTCTAGTCGAAGTTCAGCCCTCAGGTGGTGGTATGGTAGAAGTACAGGCCTCATGTGGTGGTCCGGTAGAAGTCCGGGCTCATGTAGTGGTCTGACAGAAGTCCTGGCGGTGGTCGATGAGGCAAGGAGGTAAGAGCGATCTTCAATCTCTCTCTCTTGTTTCCTTTAGGCTTAGGGGCCTCTTTTCAAGATAAAGTTGGTGTAGCCCAATAACCTCCGATCTCGCGCGAATCGATCTTCCGTTCCTTCAATGCAAGAGATACCTGCAATCAAGGGTAAATGGAGAGTGGTTTGGATGGACGGCTGATGTTGAATCCCTTGATCGTGGGCCGTTCGCTTGACATTTAAAGGTCTTACTGATGTCGGAATTCTGTGATCTTGGACTGGTTGGTTTCGTCTCATTGAGCCACTCGATTCGATTATAAGCATGTCACGTTTGGAAACCGTTTGGTAATCCAAATTGTGGTTCGAACCTTCCAACAGTTCTTCGGACGCTTGACTTGGACCCATTTGGGCTCAGATTGAGTCGAATTTGGTGTCATTGGGTTCGTATTCTTGAGACGTTCAGTTCAACTTCAAGTTCGCTGAAATCAGAGTTTGGATGATCCCAAATATAATTTTGGAAGTTTCCAACTTGATTTTTTCTTGAGATCCGTTTCCGATCAGGATAATTTTTTGATGATGTATAACATAATATTTTGCAACATTTTTTTTTTCTATTTATATAGAATAGCTCAGGTCTCTCGTCGCTCTCCAAAGTTGTGAATGGACGTCCCGAGCATAAAACATGCGTTTTTGGTGCTGCTGGTTGATCAGTTCCATCGGATCGATACATTTGTGGAGTTATCTCGCACTTATAAAGATGATAACGACAGGGAGTGAGTGAATTTAGAATTAAATTGGCTTAGAATTAAAAATAAAAATTAAATAAAGAAAGATTGGAAGGAAAAGAGATTTCAACCTTAGCAGAACAACTCATGGGTTAGCAGAAATACGTCAATGTGTAAGCGCAGAGGGATATAATAGTCTGGTGAAGGTGTCATCTAATATAGACTGTAATATATTTGTTGTCGAAAGTTGAAAATTAGCTTTATTTGTCGGAAATCTATGCTACAGCACCCAATAAAAAAAAAAAAAAAGAAAGAAAAGCAATTCTGAGAAGTCGATCTGTTCATCCGAGTTAAAATGTGAATATTTTTCTCTACTTTAATTAAGACAGTATTTCATGGTTACTATTCTCGTAAATTTGCTGTTAATTCTATGTAGAATCTGATTGTGTTTCAATTGGATTATACGGCTGACTAAGACACCAATTCCATTGTTCGAGCTCATTGGGGGATTGCAGGAGGGACTCCCGCTTTAGGTTTAGGTGTTTTGCCCCCGTTTTTTTTATGTATAATTTTATAGCATTGTGGCGCTGTATATTTTAGCGTTGCAATGCTGTACACTCGTGCTTGTTAGAAATAGATACAGCTCCCACTGTTTTAATGAGCGGATGACGGCATAGAGCTCCTGCTCATAAGCTGACCACTTTTGTCTAGCTTCACTCAATTTCTCACTGAAAAATGCTACAGGTTTACCTTCCTGTGAGAGAACTGCTCCGATTCCCACTGACGATGCATCAGTTTCGACCATAAAGACCTTGTCGAAATTCGGTAACACTAATACTGGAGCGGATGTCAGAGCCCGTTTAATTGCATCAAAACTTTGCTGTTGAGCCGAATTCCACTGGAATATCTTTTCTTTCAAGCAGTCGGTCACTGGTGCCATCAACATGCTGAAGTTCCTGATGAATTTGCGGTAAAAATTCGCCAAGCCGTGGAAACTCCTTACCTCATAGAAGGAAGTTGGTGGTGGCCAGTCACGGACGGTGCTAATTTTCTGCGGATCCATGTGCACACCGGTAGCATCTATGACAAAACCAAGGAAATGAACCTTCTGAACTGCCAATTCACACTTTGGAAGATTAAGGATTAGCCTATGTTCTTTGAGAACTTCAAATAGTGCCCGTAAGTGTATTACATGGTCTGCAAAGCTGCTGCTGTAAACCAGTATATCGTCAAAATAAACGATGCAGAATTTTCCCAGATAAGGCTTTAAGACCTCGTTCATCATTCTCATGAAAGTGGATGGTGCGTTGCACAGTCCGAAGGGCATCACCTTCCACTCGTACAGTCCTTGGGGCGTCTTAAAGGTTGTTTTCCATTCATCTCCGGGGCGGATTCGAATCTGGTGATAGCCACTGCGCAAATCAAGTTTAGAAAAAATTGAAGATCCCGTGAGCCTGACTAACAATTCGTCAATACAAGGAACTGGAAATCGGTATTTGACTGTGATTTTGTTTATGGAGCGGCTGTCGACACACATCCGCCAACTTCCATCTTTCTTGGGCACTAGTAGAGTTGGAACAGCACACGGACTCAAGCTGGTCTGTATGAATTGACGTTTCAGTAAATCGTCAATTAATTCCTGAAAGATACCCTGTTCTTTCGGATTTAACCGATAGTGTGGTAAATTGGGTAGAACGGCACCGGGAATCAAGTCTATTTGGTGTTGTATACTCCTCATTGGCGGTAATTCTTCGGGTAGTTGTTCGGGAAGGATCTCCTGGAATTGTTGTAGCAGATCTTGAATCTCTTGGTGATACTTAACTGGAGATTGTTCTGGGCTCTGTTCGGCTATCAATAGCTCGTACAATGGGGCTGGCTCCTTCCAACAATGTAACAAACTAGCACCTGTAACTATCTGGACTGCAACCTGCCGGGGTTGGTGAGGGATTTGTGATTTCGTTTCTATGGCTGTAGGTAATAATCTAAGGCGACGGCCCTTCCAGTCAAATGAATAAACATTAGCCCGGCAATCATATATCGCTGCGACGTCGAATTGCCACGGCCTTCCCAAAATCAAATGACACACATCCATGTCGAGGACATCACACAGGACTTCACAGGCATAATGCTTTCCAATTGAAAACGATACCCGGCATGATTCCGAAACTAAAATTTCCATTCCTCGCTTGACCCAACTTATTTTGTACGGGTGATCATTTTTAACGGTTTTTAACTGCAAACTGCGAACCACTGCTCTAGAAATTACATTCTCAGTACAGCCATTGTCGATCAGGAGATCACATATTTTACCGCCTATAGTGCAGCGGGTCTTAAAAATGGAATGACGCTGAGAGCTCAAAGCTTGTCGCGGCGCCAGCAACAATTTCTCCAGCACGCAGACTACCGCCTCACCTTCATCTGCAGGAACATCTTCTGAGTCACCGTCTTGAGCCTCATCTTCCGCATCTTGTTCTACTCCCTCGCCACCTTCGACCACATGAATTTGTTGTCGTTGGGGACACTCATTCGATTTGTGCCCTGGTTGAAAACAACGAAAGCATTTGAGTGTCGATGGTTTGGCATATGGGTTCTCGTTGGTTACAAATTTGGGCTTCGGTTGCACCCGAGGATCAATGGGTGCTTGATTAGGAGATTGGGTCTGAACATATGACCCTGCTGGAGTTACTGACTTAACACCGGAATTACTGCCCTTCCCCGAGGTAGCATTCTCCTGCCAATGCCGCCGAATATGAGATGTTTTGGACTGTCTAGTTTGCTGCATTTCCACCTTCATTGCAAGATTAACCGCTTGAGCCATCGACCATACAGAATTCAATTCTAAACGGTCTTGGATGCTATCTTTTAATCCTCCAATATATCGGGCTACTAAATGAGTAGCAGATTCGTTGAGATTGTTTCTTGCGGATAACCTCTGAAATTCTTCCGTGTAGTCACTCACGGATCGGCTACCTTGAGAACAATGTTGATACCTCATGTATAAGATCTGTTCATAGTCTGTGGGCAAGAATTGAGCTCTCAAGAGTTGTCTCATGCGGCTCCAGCCTCGCACGCTTCCTTTTCCTTCCCGTTGCCTCATTTGTAACAGTTGCGCCCACCAAGCACTAGCACCGCCCTTCAAACGACAGGCGACATACCGTACTTGCTTGTCCGGTGGAACCTCCATGTATTCAAAGAAATTTTCCACTGCTTTTTCCCAATCTAAATAGTCTTCGATATGCATTCGTCCGTCGAAATAAGGGATATCTAGCTTAGCCTTGAATTCGTTGTGCGGTAAACGATGATGAAAGGCTCTACGATATCTAGGACATTCGCCCCTATACGGAATTTCATCCTCAGCATCTTCAGATTCCATGAAGTCCGCTTCACGCTGGAATGGCAACTCTTCCTCCGAGTCTGAGAAATCTTGCATAGCAGCCGGAACATTTCGGAATTGTTTGGCTGCAGTCACGCCTCTACGCCTTAACGGCCGGACACCCTGCGGCTCAGCTACTGGTGGATGAAACGGCGGTGGTCTCGCCCGAATGAGATTGAACTCATGGCGTATGTCCACAGCGAGCTTCTGTAAATCTGCCGACAGATCATCAAGCCGGCGATCCAAGTTTTTCTGGTTTGCCCAAAGTGCGTCAAGACTTCGCACTTCTTCGGTGATAGGTTCTTTGCCACGATCTGCCATTCTTCCTCAACAAGCAAGGCTCTGATACCAACCTGGTGTAGCCCAATAACCTCCGATCTCGCGCGAATCGATCTTCCGTTCCTTCAATGCAAGAGATACCTGCAAGGAAGAAATAAAAAGAGGGTATGCAAAGAACACAGTACCGGATTGAAGGACCCTGTATATTCAGGGGGATATCTCTGTTGCTATAGTAAAATGAGGAGTATCAAAATGATTGGCCGTCTTCTTCCTCAGCCAATCTCCCTATAAAGGCCGCTTCTAGAAAGCTCAAAAGGTCATCATTAACAGATCAGAAAAATACTAGGAAAAATAAAAACTAAGGCACGTGTAAGAAAAAGTAGATAGTAAGTGGTTGTCAGAAAACCATTGAGGATGCATTAGATGTCCCGCTCCTCAAGATAACTAACGTGCACTACATCAGTCTTCCCCCGCTTCAGAAGAGCTCGACTCCGACGAGCTAATGTGAATAGTGCCATCATCAGGAGGTGAATATGCAGAAATATCTGCCACATTAAAAGTAGTGGACATATTTAAGTCAGCTGGCAAGGCAACGGTGTATGCATTATCGTTGATTTTAGCAGTTATAGGAACTGGCCCAAATTTCCTGCGCATAAGCTTGGAATGAGTCCCTGGCGGTAGCCTTTCCTTACGAATGCGAACCATAACCAACTCCCCAATGTTGAAAAGTCGTTGCCGACGGCGACGATCAACAATCTCTTTATACTTCAAGTTGGATTTCACAATTCGTTGACGAACTTCTTCCAACATGTCAGATGTTCTTCAGTGAAGGTAGCAGCAGCGGGGGCCTTGCATTTGGGCAAAACAGCGACGTCGAGAGCTGTACTCGGTGCCTTAGTATACACGATACTAAAGGGGGATTTACCAGTTGAACGGTTAATCATCGAATTGAAAGCAAACTCGGCTCTAGCCAAGACATCTTCCCATTGTTTTGGGTGATCCTGCACAAGACACCTCAACATGTTGCCTAAGGTGCGGTTAACCACCTCCGTCTGCCTATCCGTTTGTGGGTGATATGCGGAGCTGAGGCGAATGTCAGTACCCAGCTGTTTCCAAAGATCGCGCCAAAAATGACTTATAAACTTCACGTCGCGATCGGAAGTGAGAGTTCTTGGAATACCATGTAATCGAATAATTTCTCTAAAAAAAATATGAGCAACAGTCATGGCGTTTGAAGTTTTCTTACATGGAAGGAAATGCGCCATCTTGGAGAACCTGTCGACGACGACCATGATGGAGTCGTTACCTCGCCGTGATCTAGGAAGTCCCAAGACAAAGTCTAAACTGAGGTCTTCCCAAATGGAATCGGGAACAGGCAGCGGTAGGTATAGACCGGTATTCTGAGCTCCTCCTTTGTACATTTGGCAAACTGGACAGCTATCCACTAATCGAATAACATCGCGTCGTAATCGGGGCCAAAAAAATCGTGACTGGACAAGGTTCAATGTCTTGTCACGCCCCATGTGGGCGGCGAGCCCTCCGCTATGAGCTTCTCTGATAAAAAATTGTCGCCAAGACGAAACAGGCACACATAGTAAGTTTTGTTTAAACAGAAAACCATGCCTTACCGAATAACCTGCAGCTGGTTCCGGTCCCTGGCAAGAATTCCAAGCGTCTTTGAAGTCAGGGTCTGTTTCGTATAACTCCTTAAGGCTGTCGAGTCCAATTGTATTTGTTTGTACTCGTGTGACCATAAGGCTCTTTCTGCTAAGAGCATCCGCCACACGGTTATTGGCTCCCGGTTTATGCTGGAATGTGAAGGAGAATCTCTGAAGAAACGTCAGCCACCGAGCATGCATACGATTTATGGATTTCTGGCTATTGAGATACTGGAGCGCTTTGTTATCACTGCAAAGCACAAAATCCTGATGTAATAGATACAGCTCCCACTGTTTTAATGAGCGGATGACGGCATAGAGCTCCTGCTCATAAGCTGACCACTTTTGTCTAGCTTCACTCAATTTCTCACTGAAAAATGCTACAGGTTTACCTTCCTGTGAGAGAACTGCTCCGATTCCCACTGACGATGCATCAGTTTCGACCATAAAGACCTTGTCGAAATTCGGTAACACTAATACTGGAGCGGATGTCAGAGCCCGTTTAATTGCATCAAAGCTTTGCTGTTGAGCCGAATTCCACTGGAATATCTTTTCTTTCAAACAGTCGGTCACTCGTGCCATCAACATGCTGAAGTTCCTGATGAATTTGCGGTAAAAATTCGCCAAGCCGTGGAAACTCCTTACCTCATAGAAGGAAGTTGGTGGTGGCCAGTCACAGACGGCGCTAATTTTCTGCGGATCCATGTGCACACTGGTAGCATCTATGACAAAACCAAGGAAATGAACCTTATGAACTGCCAATTCACACTTTGGAAGATTAAGGAATAGCCTATGTTCTTTGAGAACTTCAAATAGTGCCCGT